AGTGCATCGACAAGCAAGTACAGTCGCCTTCATGTGAAGCCTTTTGTGAAGCTTTGAATACAGAATAAAATGGCATAAAATTATCACTTGGTCACACAAAAACAATTTTACTCCTCCGTCTCAAATAGTTGGTATAACAAAGCCTTCAAAAGCCAGAATACCAATGTTAAGGGTACTTTCAAACATCTGCATATAGAGATATTTCACCCAGGAGGCTGGCGTGTGAAACCAGAACACACCTGAGAGCCTCACGTTACCCGGGATGCCGGGATGAGACCAGGAGGCCGTCCACATACTTCCTTTTGGGTCACACGGGTCCTTTTTGCTCCCCCCGCCGGCCCGCAGGGATAAGTCTTTGGTAATAGTTTACTTCAAATGAATCATTGTTTGCTAAAATTACAAATCAAATTCCTCATTCAGGCCTCTTTATTATTGCTATTTAGCCTCTTGTCTCAGATATCGAAATGCTTTCATCGTTCCCTGTCATTAATAATTCATATCAACCTGCTTCTATTTGTCCTTCGCCTCCACGTCTCCTTCGCTTTGGACCACTTGGATTAATTCACCTTAACTTGGTGGAAACTCTGGACGTTTCTCTGCAGAACTTCTTTTACCTTTTTCTTTTCTTTTCAAGTCAACGAAGCAGAAAGAGCGTTTCTCTTTGTTTCATGATGAAGATTAATCAGATTAATCCCGCGGAGGATTAAAATAACTCTTTTTGTTTTTCACGGCGGGATAATTAGACCGGCATCCTGCTGGTCAGGTTCCTGCTCGCAGGTTCTGACGCCTCCCTTAGCGCCCGTTAGAGGAACCACAGAAGAAGAAGGTGTCCTGCACATTTCAGGTCAAAATTAGTTCCCTAATTGGATTTTACAAGCGAGAGATGAAGGCATTTACCTTTCCCCCTTTGTGTTTCTGCTCTTGTGTCTCGTGTACCCGTGAAGAGCTGTTTCTTTATTATTTAAGGCATTGTGATGAAAATGTCCTCTTGTGGTTGTTGTTGTAATTGTAATAGCTCATGAAGAAAGATTGAGACTCTTCAGTCATTCTAAAGTTCTGAGAGAAGCCAACTGGATATTCTATCGTTCCTATTATTGATCTCTGTTGATGTTGTTCTTTAGTTTCTTCCATTTGTTCAACACGGGGGTGTGGTTAGACTTAACCTGTGGACAAAGAGGAGGAGCTAATGGCCGCAAGAATTTTATTAATTCCAGTACAGTCAATCAACTATTGACAATAAAAACTGCTCATGCTGCTGCATTGAAACAGACTTAAACTAGAGACTGAGGCCATGAACAGTGAGGGAATGAATCAAGTGAGAAGTGGAGTCATTTCCTCATAGACGTCTATGGGAGCAGAGGAGTCGCCCCCTGCTGGTCACTACAGAGAAGTAGAGTCATTTCCTCATAGACGTCTATGGGAGCAGACGAGTCGCCCCCTGCTGGTCACTACAGAGAAGTAGAGTCATTTCCTCATAGACGTCTATGGGAGCAGAGGAGTCGCCCCCTGCTGGTCACTACAGAGAAGTAGAGTCATTTCCTCATAGACGTCTATGGGACCAGAGGAGTCGCCCCCTGCTGGTCACTACACAGGATGCAGCTTGACGACATTAAACCGTGACTTTGCTTTAAAGAACCAGATGTTGTTTCCTGGTTTCACATTGTCTCCGTCATGAAGGTCCTTGCGTTCCATGGGGACTTTTCATCACCAGGGTCAACACAGACGCTTTAGAAGCGACAGGAAGTGAATCATCCAAGTCTCCTGCGGACACGCGTGTCCTCTTTTTACCTCCGTTTTTGGCCTCAAACACAATCAAACACAAAGCTCAGATTTATCCTCTCTTGAGACTGACGAGCTTTTAGTTCTCTGGTGAAAAAATGTAAAGCTTAGTGTGGACGAAGGCCAGGAGGAGCTGATTGAAACCTGACCGTGGATCATTCCGCCTCATATCAATATATACATGTGCAGCCAATAATATTAATTGGTTTTATATAGCGCTTTTCTAAATGTCTCAAAGACGCTTTAACATAGTCGAAGGGGGGGCGGTGTGAGACAGACAGACAGGAGACGAGACACGAGGGGCGACATATACGGGCCGATGGCATAATCTACATCGACTGAAGGGTAGGGGAGGGAGGGAGGGGGCTACGGGTAAGCAGATGAGAACAGATGTGTTCTGAGGCGGGACTGGAATGTGGTGATGGAGTCTCTGATGAGAATGGCGAGTGAGTTCCAGAGCTTGGGAGCTGCCCTGGAGAACGCTCTGTCCCCAGAGCCCGGAGTTTGGATGTGGGGGTGAAAAGTAGGAGGTGGATCTGAGGGCCGATGAGGTTGGTGGGGGGAAAGGAGTTCAGAGAGATTTGATCCAGTCAAATTCATGGTTAAAGTGCAAATTATAATGTGATTTCATTATCTAACTGTGCTAATTCTTCATAGAGGCCTGTGTGTATAAATGGCCATATTAATGCAATACAATAAACACGACACAACAATCAATTCCATAATTAACATGAAAAAGAGAAATTAGTGTAAACAACAAGATGACTGAGACTTTCCATTCCGTCAACTAACTTCATGACTTTGTTAAGACGTGTGAGCTGCGGAGCACCGACTGAGAATATTGATCAGCACATTAGGGCCGATCAGTGGGGGTCCTCGCAGCCCGAGCAGGTTAATCACCCAGAGGGATGCTGGGAAACGGAGTCCACCGCGGAGCGTTTGAACGCCACCAGAGAAGAGACCCGCCGCTGCAGGTCTCCGGGTCGTGGACGGCTGCATTGATTTAAGTCAACGATGCTGGTATCCATTTAACAAACCATTTTCTTTAATTTGATTGTATTTGGTGTAGATTCTGACATTTAAATTCAGTGTTGTGGAAGTAAATACGAAGCCTGCGTTTGATCCTCTGATCTGTAAATAAATGACTATTTGTGCGGTTTTGTTTGCTGCGTTTAAAGGAGCTTTTGTTCCGTTCTGATTCCACACACACGTTTGAAAGCTGCACACCTGCAGAGACTCAAGTGAATGCAGCGGAGACACGAGGGGAGGAAAGGCTTCGGTTTAAGGGCACTGGTGTAGTTACTTTATAATAAGAAAGGACAGCTCGGTTTCCTGTTCATTTTTATTTCACTGTCCAAGGTTTTTTACTCATTTAAATAAATTCCCACAGCTTTTAAAGAGTCCAAAGCTGTTATAGATACTGATCTGTGTGCATCACCCAGTTACAGACAAATACATCTTTCATTTTAATAAAATGAATCCTTTTAATTCATTACATTAGACTTCATAACTAATCTATGTCTTTACTGGCACATCTGAGAATGCACACATTACCTAAAGTGAGTAAATGAATGGGTAAATGAATACATTTAATTCATTTTAATTAATAAAATCGATATAATACCAATAAGAGCAGTACCAATCTAAATGAAATAATACATAAATATCTACAAATACATATAAAATATATTTAAATTAGATGAATAATATGAATAACATGAGTAAACAATTAAATGAATAGAACAAATAAAAATATGAGAACTCCAAATAAAATAAATCCTGCATGTTTTCTGAAGTAGAAGTACACATTATGTGTAGACAGCGAAGCATAATATTCTTAAATGTCTCTTGTTATCTATCATTATTAAGTTAATCTGGGATACAAAGTCGTCCACGTTACCGGTTCTCTGGAAAAGGGGATGTCCTGCTAGAACCTACTTCAGGAACCCTTCACTGGGTCCAAAGGACCGTGTGGTTCCTGATCAGTGAGTAATGACATCTGTGACCCTCGAGCACGGCACACAACAGAAGGCTGTGTCACTTTGAGTTTGCTTCTTTAAATGCAATATTGAAAATACCAGAGAGCACAATATATAATATTGCATCATATAATATATATATGGAAATATAAATGTCCCTGATGGGGGACAAAATAAAGGATTGTGTTATGTCAAAGAATCAAATGATAAAATAAAAAACGTTCATTTGATTGAATATTATTTGATTTAGCATAGCTTATTTTATTTAAGGAAACAACTAAAATAAATACATTACTAATAATAATGAATAATTAAGTAATATAGATAAATAATAACTATATTATTATCATTCCATGTGAAAATGTCGCTTGCTGGGGGAACAATACAGCATTCTTTTAAATTATCAAACAATTTAGTACAATATTTGAAAAGAAGATTATTTAAAATCAGTTATCAGTAAATGTTGCACCTTTTGAGTTTTACATTCACGAAGGCAGCAAATGAATCATTAGTCAAGAGTCTTTTAGATAATAGACGTGTGGTTGGATTTTGAGGCATTCTCCCCTTTATCTTCAATCAATATAGACACATTTTGCGTTTAATTTTTCGTCTGAACAAACTCAAAAGCGGAGATGTAATAATGTGTTTGTTGATGGTGTATTTTGGATTAAACCGATGAATAAAGTTAGGCGGCCATTTGCAAAAAAACAGCCATAATCCATATGTGTCGAGTGTAAAATACGACGGTCCAGACCGCTTCCCGCCTGCAGGTGGCGCTCGGAGCGCGAGAGACGCTGCCGCTTCCCGCCTCCCCGCCGCGGGGGGAGACGAAGCGAAGGGCGAGAGTGAGGGGACACGACGGGGACACGGAGGGGGGAGAGAGACGGGGGGACGCGTGGAGGATGCGCGCGGGAGGACCGTCTGCGGCTCGTGTCACCGCGCGGCTACGCTCGCGTTACGGCCGACGGTCAGCCGACGGAGACCCGACCTGCGAGCAGCATCCGCCCGCTTCCCCCGCAAAGACACGGCGGGGACATCGAGACACAAAAAAATGGCAGCCGGCAGAAGTCGATTTGTCCGGAAAAGAAATGTTATAAAATGTTTGGAATTCCGCGCAGAGTTTGTTGTTGGGGAGGAAGCTCGCCTCGCTCCCTCCTGTGTAGTGTACATAGAGAGTGTATAGGGGAGGGAGGGGGGGGGGAGAGAGGGGGAGGGAGGGGGGGGGAGAGAGAGGGGGGGGCAGAGAGAGAGAGAAGCGCTCGCGCAGCCCGCTTGGCTTCACTCCCCTCTCATCGCTCGCCGGACCGGCGGAGGACGCGTGAGTGTCGCGCAGCGGGAAACTGACCGGACGGCCGCGCGGTGCTCCCGGACCCACCAGACCTTGTTGTTTCTTTGCTTTACGGGGTTTTTTTCTCCCGTTTTCGTTTCTTTCTTTCTTTCACTGTCTCGGTGCTGCGTTCGTTTTTCACTCCATCCACCGGCTGGAGGATGCTGCTGCTGCCGCCGGTAGAAACCGCCCGGTGGTAGCGCTCCGGACGGGTGTCCACTGCCCGACTACCCGGACTGGGCTCCAGCTCCCCCCGCGAGAGCGCGCGGACCTCCCGGTCGATGCTCGGCGCTGGTCACGACAGTTAAACTGGACAGACATTGACAGAGGAATTGGAGGAATAATGTTTTTTTTCCTGGATTTGTTTTAAATTGTTCTAACGTCTTTTTCACACGGCGTTGTGGATTAGCACATTATTTTTGTATTCTTCTTCGACCCGCGGCTCCATCTGGGTACCGAAGAGGTGCGGAGCCCGTACCCGAGGCTGGAGCGCTCAGAGCCGGGTACCCGCGCGGCTCTCACCCGGTCCAGGTAGGAACTTCTCCTCGCACAGCCCCACATTACATAACACGTTCATTGCCCCACTCGAGCCTCCGCGTGACGCCGCATATCGGCACAATACATCACTTTATGTCCATGTTATGAGGCGGGACGGACCTCCGAGCTGCTGCTAAAACACTTGTTGGTGAAAATGACTCGCTCGCATGTTCATATTCAACGTCTAATGGCTCTTTCACCCGCATTACGCGGTAGTGGTATTGATCCGTATCGATCCGCCCCCCGGGTGTCAGTCATAAATCACAGTTTCCGGTTGGTCATTTCTAGTTTTTTACAGTAATGGAGTACAGTGCAGCAGTGCGCGTGCACGGCTCCCCGTGGTGCGCGTATGAGCCTCACGATGTCTCCCTTCTGAGGGACTTCTGAGCTGCCTTCAGGGCCCTGTGGGTCCCCAACAATACGCACATTTAAGCCCCCCGCACCTGTAGCTTCCCATTAAACACCAGTGTGTGTGTGTGTGTGTGTGTGTGTGCGCGCGCGTGCGCGTGCAGTCCAGATAAAGGTGCAGCTGGTGACACAGAATGTACAACTTGCACCGAGCGCGCGGCAGCACCCGGAATGCAGCGTGCCCGGTTCCTCCGGTCCTCCAGAGAGGGAGAGGGTCGATCAACCGGCTCTACGCGTTAGACGGGGGGGGGGGGCATTCACATGGAAAATGGTTCTGCCCCGCTGCCCCCCCGGAGAGATTCCTCTGTTCATTTTAAATGAGAATGAAACGGGCCGATGGGCGGGGGTCGATACTCGCCCCTCGGGGGTTCTCTGTGGGGGGGGGTCCTTAGAGGATGAGAGGACCGAGGAAGAAGAGGTCTCACAGGGTCCCGTGGTGTGTGGAGTTAGCGGAATCAACCCAAGGGGAAAAAAACAATTTGGGTTCCGACAAGAAGGGAAGAAGCATTAATAAAGAGGGTAAATCTGACTAAATAAACATCATTTTAGTGTAAATGCTGTTTTTGTTTCTTTCCGTTGATAAAACCCAGACGTGAATCATAGACTTCACTATTGATTTGTATTGATTATTTACATAACATTACTTACTGGTAGTTAGTTTCGCTTCATCGGCTCGTTTTAGATGAATATGGATGAATGCATTTTTATTGTTGTATAAATAAAAAAATCAACTTCATTAAAGTGAATGTTCACGTGATATTATTGTCAAAGCAAACAATGTTTTACGTAATCAATCATAACCATTAACTGAGCTTACAGCGACATGCAGCTTGATCAGGTATTAGTCTGTAGCTTCTGAAGCTGTGACATCATGAGACGTGTCGGCCAATCAGCTGTCAGGATCTTCTGATCGTAACAAACATAACAAACGTCCTTCGTCTTTAAGGAACTTAGTTGGTTCAGATACTCATTCTGTGTACAAGTACAACGTACAGGTGACATAAACTCTGTTTAAATCAAGTTTTATAGTTGAGGAAACGGTGGTGGCGCCTGGAGTAGAGAGGGTGCGCCCGGAACTGCAAGGTTGCGGTTTCGAACCCCCGGCTGCTCCGTGTCCCATGTCAAAGTGTCTCCCCCTACCTGCCCCCCTCCTGCCCCCCCTACCCGCTCCCCCTACCTGCCCCCTTCCTGCCCCCCCTACCCACTCCCCCTACCTGCCCCTCCTACCCGCTAACGCATTTTAAGTCGCTTTGGATACAAGCGTCAGCTAAATGACCTGTAATGTATACAATGTTTATTTGGCTCTGAGGTGTGTTCAGGTATTCTGGTCTTCTGGTGTCCATGTATTTAGGTGTTCAGGTCTTCAGGTCTTCTGGTGTCCATGTATTTAGGTGTTCAGGTCTTCAGGTCTTCTGGTGTCCATGTATTTAGGTGTTCAGGTCTTCAGGTCTTCTGGTGTCCATGTATTCAGGTGTTCAGGTCTTCAGGTCTTCTGGTGTCCATGTATTTAGGTGTTCAGGTCCTCAGGTCCTGTTTGTCCTTGTGAAGTCTGTCATGAGGAATAAACACGTCTCTGTGGATCAAAAATGATTCTCGATGTACCGAGCGGCTGTTCGTCCGCCACCCGCTCCCATAATCCCCTTCTGCAGCGGGGGATCAGTGCGCGGCGGTCACAGGTTAGACGCCGCATCCTGTCACGCGTTTGATCCCCGCCGCCGTGCCTACGAGCAACGGGAAGGGAACTCAGCAGAACCAATGAAACCAGTGAGTCAGCTCACAGGAAGCCGAGAGGTGAAGTCAGCGGTGCGTTCAGGGCTCAACTTTATGTTTACTCAAGGTGCGTTCGATGGTCGTCATCTAAAGGTGTTGCTTGTTCTCTTGACACTAAACTGAGACAGAAGTAAGTAAATATAACGCTTAGACGAGTAGTCCCGCCTCTGGATGCCGTTGATGCTAATTATTGATTGTTGGTGACCCTTTTTATCACATACAGATGTCTTTGTTGATTTTAGCAGCTGATCTAAATTAATCCATGATACTTAATTAGCAAATGCTAAATATTATGGTTTTATTTTGTTAGTAGTACTCTAAGTATTTTTTTCTTAAAACGTAATTCAAATAAGGACATTAAACATATTATATATATTGTCAATATTATTTTTAATGCTGTATAATATGTTTGGAAGTCAATTAGATCATAATTCATCTCTAATCTGCGAACCCACCATAATGATGTTATTGAGTTGTAATTCTCACTGAGCAGAGCTTGAACGCATCATAATGATGTTATTGAGTTGTAATTCTCACTGAGCAGAGCTTGAACGCATCATAATGATGTTATTGAGTTGTAATTCTCACTGAGCAGAGCTTGAACGCATCATAATGTAACTGAAGTGAGCCTCCGTCGGTTAGCAGTTAGCTGCTGCTAGCGCTCCTTCTTCAATTTAAACACTGATTGTTTGCTTACAATGTCACATGATCAGAGACGTCAACGGTCACTGACTTTACTTGGTATTGTAGGTAAAACTTTATTTACTCTGAAATGGTAAACTTGAAACCGTCCGTGCTAACGCTAGTTTATGCTAACTTTCAAATTAGTTGATTGATCTTTGAAATTTGCCGAATTAACAAAATTGAACATAACAATATTTACATAATATCTTGTTGTTTTAGGGAGTTGTGTGTATTTAGCAAGTGTAATTGTGTGTGCGGTTAATAACGGGCGTTTCTGTGACGTTAATCTTCTGCAGTGCGACGACATGTTGAACCCGTCGTTTGTCAATGATCGCTTATTCTCCACCAGAAGGAAGCGAGACGACTCCTCGTCGAGACACTACTTAGAAACTAGCCAGTGTGTCATTGTGTGTGTGTGTGTGTGTGTGTGTGTGTGCACGCGCTGCATCTGAATAGGGAGGATGTGTGTGTCTGTGCGTGTGTGTGTTTGCTAATCTGGATCAAACAATGGTAGTGAATGGAGTCATTAGAGTAATCCCCTTTTGTGCTGCGGGGCGAGACACACACACACACACACACACACACACACACACACACACACACACACACACACACACACACACACACACACACACACACACACACCAGACTGTCCACCTCCAAGATCAAAAAAAAACTTCAAAGCATCTTTTGTTTTCTGCAGTGTGTGTGTGTGTGTGTGTGTGAGAACAGGGGCAGTGTTGGACATTGAGGTTACTGTGGTTTCACCACACACACACACACACGCACGCACACACACACACAGGGAAAGAAATGCACACCTGAGACAGAAACCTTTCATAACTGGTTTCTTACGTGTGAGTATTTGTCACGTATTGCTGTGATCAAACCGATGGTTATTGGTCGACGTCCTCTATGACTTCCATCTGGTTTCTGTATGAATCCCACTGACGGGGGAAGAAAGAGCAGCAGCCTGGTGTGATTACGGGGAGTCGATCTACCCTGATGAAGACTTTAGTAGCTCAATAAGAAGTCTACATTAAGGACCTTCTAACATCTCGCTCTCTGAAGAACGGTGTGGAACCATCTGACCAATCATCAATACGCAAAATTTAAATTTTGCGTATTGATGATTAGGGCTGCAACTAACGTTTATTTTTGTAATCGACTAATCTATCGACTATTTTTCGACTGGTCGACTAACCACAGTGTGGGAGGGTGGAAACAAACAAAGACACAAGTATTCCGTTCGTTTCCATCCAATAACTTTGGATTTTGAACTTCAAATGTATTTGAGTAATAAGTTAATACAAATGTAATCATCATAATAAATACATTGAACAGCAATACAAAATGTAAGTGTTTAAAAGTAAAGAGAATGAAACTATTTTTTCCACAACCACAACTCAGGTTTGTCCTCTGTACAAACCAGTAGTCCCCTGTACAAACCAGTAGTCCCCTGTACAAACCAGTAGTCCCCTGTACAAACCAGTAGTCCTCTGTACAAACCAGTAGTCCCCTGTACAAACCAGTAGTCCTCTGTACAAACCAGTAGTCCCCTGTACAAACCAGTAGTCCTCTGTACAAACCAGTAGTCCTCTGTACAAACCAGTAGTCCCCTGTACAAACCAGTAGTCCCCTGTACAAACCAGTAGTCCTCTGTACAAACCAGTAGTCCTCTGTACAAACCAGTAGTCCCCTCTACAAACCAGTAGTCCTCTGTACAAACCAATAGTCCCCTGTACAAACCAGTAGTCCTCTGTACAACCAGTAGTCCCCTGTACAAACCAGTAGTCCTCTGTACAAACCAGTAGTCCTCTGTACAAACCAGTAGTCCCCTGTACAAACCAGTAGTCCTCTGTACAAACCAGTAGTCCTCTGTACAAACCAGTAGTCCTCTGTACAAACCAGTAACAGTTTACTTCTTATTTCCTTAGTTGGCATTAACACGTCAGAGCAGCTCTTTCTAACGTGACGCAGGTGGGACATTAACACACACACACACGCACGCACGCACACACACACACACACACACACACACACACACACACACACACACACACACACACACACAGACACACTGTGGGGGGGGTCATTGGGCCCATTGAGCTGCTTTGTAATGTACAGACGTCACACACACTCTTTGTCCTGGATTCAGACCCTCACACACTTAATGCCCTTTACACATGGGAAACGTCTCTGTGTTGTCTCACAGACACACACACACACACACACAGACACACACACACAGACACACACACACACTGGGTGAGAAACCCTCAGACTGTGGGAAACAGGACGAGTGGGACAGTATCTGGTTTAACCCGCAGTGTCCCTGAGGAGACAACATAAACACACACACACACACACACACACACACACACACACACACACACACACACACACACACACACACACATGTGAACAAACATGTCAGAAGGATTTTTCCCAAAGTCCTCTTGACCCCAAAGTGTTTTCCTGTGATTCGTCCTGTTTATTACAGTGAACGCATGTTTTAAATTGACCTTATTGATGAACAGATGTTGAACCACATCATGATATCGATTAAATATTTAAACTTTCAACCTCGTGTTTCTGAGAAGAGGTTTTAATTACACGTTTTAATGTTAGATTCCTGCTTGTTAATATGCTGCGTCGTCAGATGCTGAAAGTCCTGAACTGGCTTCATTTATAACCTCATTTCATTTAAAGTAATTAGAATTGTGTCCATGTTTATGAATAAAATACGTTCCCTCTTCTAACGAAACAACTTGTTGAACCCCAAATCTTTTAGTTTGAGCGTTTGCAGCACCAAGCGGCAGCTCTCTGCTCAGTCTGTTCCCCGTTAGTGTGCCCTGAAACACAACACACGCGTGTGCACCACCTGTACTCTGGTTCGTTAGCGGGCTGCGGGGGCCACACTGCTGCTTCAGTTACCACGGTGACGCCTGAAAGGCCGCAGGGGTTAGGGGTCAGAGGTCGCTGGTTTGTGGGTATTTGGCAGCTCTGCAGAAAATATAAATGTGTGAAAATCAACACACTTGTGTGGCACAGACACACACACAGACACACACAGACACACACACACACACACACAGGTATTCACATGCACGTTCACACTCATTCACATTCATAGCGGTTAATTAGGTGTGTGTGTCTGTGTGTGTGTGCACAGCAGGGAGCCCGGCAGTCGACACTTGGACGAACAAATGGACAAAAGCCACAGAATGTTTTCTGCTTTACGACCTCGTTAGCCGAGAGACGAGCGCCGTCAGAGCGCAGCGCCCGGTGTGAATACGTCAGGCGCTCTGAGCACAACTTCCGTTTAAAGAAATAAAAATCACGTCCATCCGCTAGATCGCAGGTTTGTTTTGGTTGATAAGACATTTTTTTCCCACAAATTGAAATGTCTTCAGAATCAGAAATGTATTTATTGTGTTTAAATACACGTTAACATGTAAAGGAGGAGGAGCAGCAGGATGAGAAACATCAGGTTACTGCCAAGATGAGAAGGATTAAAACAGGGAGGATTAGAACATTAGAAACAACATATAAAGATACGTTTTTTATTGTCTTGAGGGGAAAGTGGATGAAAGATGATCATTTGTAGCCTGCAGCTTTGTGGTGTCATTCACGTGTTTGGTGGGTGGAGGCTGGTGGGTGGAGGAGAGCATCTGTATCCAGCTCCAGAGGTCACCTGGTCATGTTCCTAATCTGACATCATCCAGTGTGTTCGTCTGAGTGACTCTGCCCCCCCTTCTCTTTCAGAGGGGATCTGTTGGTCGGAGCCATGGCGGCGCCCAGACGGGCCCTCCTGCTCTACCTGGCGCTGGTCCTGCGGGCCTCCTGCGGCGCGGCGCCCTCCGACATCCTGTACCGGGTCGCCGAGGAGCAGCCTCCCAACACGCTGATCGGCAGCCTGGCGTCGGACCGCGGCCTCCCTGACACCGGCCACCTCTACAAGCTGGAGGTGGGCTCGCCATACCTGCGCGTGGACGGCAAGACCGGGGACATCTACACCACGGAGATCCCCTTGGACCGCGAGACGCTGAAGGACTGCCGCAACCTGCTGGAGGGCGACGAGTGCTTCCTGGAGTTCGAGGTGTCCATCACGGACATGGTGAAGGGGCCGGGCTCGGGCCCCCGGCTCATCGACGGCCGCATCGAGGTGCTGGACATCAACGACAACACGCCGCAGTTTTCCTCGCCCATCCTCTCGCTGTCCATCCCCGAGAACACACACGTGGGCGCCCTCTTCTCCATCCCCATGGCGACCGACCGGGACTCCGGCGGCAACGGCGTGGCGGAGTACTCGCTGACGGCGGGGCCAGACGCCGACCGGCTCTTCTCCCTGCAGGTGGCGGTGGACCAGGACGAGAAGCTGCCGCAGCTGGTCGTCATGGGCAACCTGGACCGCGAGAGGAAGGACTCGTACGACTTGAACATCCGGGTTGTGGACGGCGGGAGGCCGGCGAGGGCGAGCAGCGCCCTGCTGAGGGTCACCGTCACCGACCAGAACGACAACGCGCCGAAGTTCGAGAGGAGCCACTACGAGGCCGAGCTGCCCGAAAACAGCCCGCAGGGACACTCCGTGCTGCAGGTAGAGCGCCGCGGTGGGAGGAGCCTGATCAATAACGCACACACACATCTGCTCAATTATCCATCAGTCGTTCAGCTTCACTCGGCTTCACTTCCCTGTGAAGAAAGAAGCGTTTCTAAAGTCCTTTCCTCATGTTGAGCAACATTACCCAGAATCCCGAGCAAACATCGCCCCATGGAGGTAACCTGGGAGCACAGAGGAGTCCGGCGGGATCCGCCGCGAGTAGTCACACATTAACCACTGACCCTTTAGCCCGACCATCGGCGTGGCCCCTCCCCTTCCTGCTTTCTCTCACTATCGGCCGTTAAAGGGATTTTATCTCAGTCAAACGATTGAATCCGACCGGAAGCTTTTAGCTTCTGTCCTTTCAGCGACAGCCAAATCATAAAGAAAGGAAAAGACGATAAAGGAGATTCTTTGACAACCACCTGATTAATCGATTAAAAACTAACCGAACTTCCGTGTAATCACGAGCAATGACGGGAAATACGGGTCTTGCGGTCGGTCTTTAGGTGCAGGCGGAGGCGGTTTGGCTCAGGGACTCCAGGTCCTCGCCGCTGGTTAATTGTTAACCGGGTGGTAAACAGTCTTTATTTGCCCAGGCCTCACCGCTCAATGCCCGTCCTCAGCGAGCGCTCAATGATTCACCGGGGGGGCATTTCACTCGCGCTTTTTTTGACCTCTTCCTCCCCTGATGAGGATGGGTGACGTCCTGCGGGGCGTCGCGGTTGGTGGCCCTGAAGGAAACAGGATATTTATTATGTTGCAGAATATTCAAACAAATATTCAAACTGGTTCCTCCAAAAACAGATTTTAAAGTATCTAAAAGACAAACAGAAGAAATAAAAAAATAACCCGAAACCACCAAATGGCTTTAATTCCCCCAAATGTACTTTCCTGGTCTCTCAAATGTGCCTGTTTAGTTCCTTGCTGAGAGTTTACGGATGTAAAGGACTGTAAAGGTGTGGGGGAGCTACCACTTCTTGCAAAGCTAACATTTTAATTAAATTAAATTATTATCATTATTAAATTAAAAATGACATATTATATGTTTACTTCTCATGACGAGACTAGCTCTTTCCCTCTGTTTCTAGTGCTTATGCTAAGCTAATGGGCTATGAATCTCCTCTAACTCTTGCAGAGAAAGTCCCAAAAGTAACCCTTTAATCGTCCTCAGCTAGAAGGTCACGTACGTTCCTGTGTCCTTTAACACAAGTTTAATATTTTTGTTTCAATAAGGAAGAATAATCCCCCACCAGCTGATTTATGGCCTTGAAGTGTGAACCCGTCCTCCCACATCGCTGTGCCTGGTGAAGCCTGCAAACACAACGCTGAGTCGGCAGGGACCTTTTAAATCTGCTGTTCAACAACTACTCTATTTAAGAGCTACAAGGCGACCTACATTTCTCCACAGCGGCCAAATTAATGCAATTAAGCGGTATTATCCGCGTCCGGACAAGGTCGTCCGAACGAGGACCGAACCTCTGTTTGCTTCCCTTTTCGGGGCGTCCAAGGCCACTCCGGCTCTTCTAATGGGCCCTAAGGAGCCGGCGCTGCTCTGAGGATGAGAGGAGCATAACCTTCGCCCGTTAGCCCACTAGACGCCGGTGATTCGCCATAACGGGCCACTGGATGTCGGCTTTGATCGGCTATAACGCGTCACGTGGAAACAATGAGGAGCTTCGCGGTGTTCCATTAGTGATGATATTCATAAGTCAAAGAAGCTAGAGGGGCGTTTGAGTGTGTAACGGGATTATTACGCAACCTTTTGGTTTGGCTCTTCTCCCTTTGCTCAAGAAGAACTCTTCTGTTGTGTTTTTTCTGCAGGTCCGCGCCAACGACGCGGACACCGGCGCCAACGGGGAGATCGACTACAGCCTCCATCAGGCGTCTGAGGCCGTGCAGAGGCTCCTGCGCATTGACCGCTCTACCGGCGTCATCTACGTCAAGGGACTAGTGGACCGCGAGGAGGAAAGCTTCCTCAAGTTCTTCGTGGTGGCCAAAGACCGCGGGCCCAACTCCAAGAGCTCCAAGGTCCTAGTGACCATCAACGTCCGGGACCTGAACGACAACGCGCCAGCCATCGAGATCCGTGGCATCGGCCTGGTGACGCACCAGGACGGCGTGGCCAACATCTCCGAGGACATGCCCATCGGCACGCCGGTGGCGCTGGTGCAGGTGTCGGACCGCGACGAGGGGGAGAATGCGGTTGTGACGTGCGTGGTCGCCGGCGACGTCCCGTTCCAGCTGCGCCCTGCCAGCGAGTCGGCCAATGACCGCAAGAGGAAGTACTTCCTGCAGACCACCACCCCGCTGGATTATGAGCGCGTGCGGGATTACAGGATCGAGATTGTGGCGGTGGACTCCGGCAACCCGGCGCTGTCCAGCTCCAACTCCCTGAAGGTGCAGGTGACAGACATGAACGACAACGCGCCCGTCTTCTCCCCCACGCTGCTGGAGTTGGACTTCGCCGAGGGCAACCAGCCGGGCGATCGCGTGCTGGGCGTCACGGCGTCAGATGCGGACAGTGGCACAAACGCCGAGCTGGCCTACAGCATCGTGGAGCCGGCGGCCTCCAGGCTGTTTGAGATCGAGGCCGACACCGGGGAGATCCGCGTGAGGAACCTGCTGGATCGGGAGGAGCGGGAGCGCTACGAGTTCCGTGTGGCGGCGGCAGACAAGGGCGTTCCCTGCAAGACCGGCACCGCCACCGTGGTGATCAACGTCCTGGACCGCAACGACAACGACCCCAAGTTCATGCTGAGTGGCTACAGCTTCTCCGTCATCGAGAACATGGCCCCCCTCAACCCTGTCGGGGTGGTGACGGTCACCGATGCAGACAAGGGCGAGAACGCCCGGGTGAGGCTGTACGTGGAGCCCGACAACGGGAAGTTTGTGATCCAGAACGGCACAGGCACCATCCTCTCCAGCATCTCCTTCGACCGCGAGAAGGAAAGCACCTACACCTTCAGCCTTAGGGCCGTGGACGCCGGCGACCCGCCCCGCTCATCCTTTGTGGGCGTGACCATTAACGTGCTGGACGAGAACGACAACGCCCCCTACGTCACCAAGCCGGCCAACTCCTCATACACCTACATGTCCCCAGTCACCCCGCTGGACACCAGCGTGGAGATGGTGGAGGCCGAGGACATCGACTCCGGGCCTAACGCCGAGCTGGTCTACGCCATCACGGGGGGGAACCCGTACGACCTGTTCTATATCTCGCCCACCAGTGGGGAAATCATGCTGGTGCAAGAGTTCACCAGCAAGCACAATGGCCTGCACCGCCTGGTGGTGAAGGTCAGCGACAAGGGCAAACCCCCTCGCCACACCACCGCCCTGGTGCATGTGTTTGTCAACGACACCAAGTCCAACGTGTCCCTCATCGAGGCGCTGGTGGGGCACAGCCTCTACACCCCTCTGGACCGGGACATCGCCGGGGACCCCAACTACGCCCTCGCCCAGCGCAGCAACATCCTGTACGGCAGCCTGGCGGGCATCGCCGGCGTGATCCTCGTCATCGTGGCTGTGGTAGTCCTCAGGCACCGGCTGCAGAAGGACACCAAGAGCGGCTACCAGGCCGGAAAGAAGGAGAGCAAGGACTTGTACGCCCCCAAGCAGGGTCCCAAAAGCAGCAAAGGGAAGAAGACCAAGAAGGGCAAGGCTCCCAAACCGGCCAAGCCACTGGAGGAGGAAGCGGAGGCCGGCCTGCAGAAGAGCCTCAATTTTAACCTCATCAACGAGGACGTCACCGACAGCCCCCGGATCCACCTGCCCCTCAACTACCCTCCGGGGAGCCCCGACCTTGGGCGCCACTACCGCTCCAACTCCCCGCTGCCCTCCATCCAGCTGCAGCCGCAGTCACCCTCCGCCTCCAAGAAGCACCAGGCTGTCCAGGACCTGCCGGCCACCAACACCTTCGTGGGGACGGGTGACAACAACTCCACGGGCTCCGACCAATACTCGGATTACAGCTACAAGGCCAACCCGCCCAAATACAGCAGCAAACAGGTAGGAGACTACGCAAACACGCCAATGTACAACACGGACAACATCTATTGGACCAAGCAGGTGTGGTAGTCGCGCCAGGACTCTTTGGGCACGTTCCGTCCAACCAAAAGCCGCACTGATTCCTCCTCTCCTTTACAGCTCGTTCCATTATTATTTTGGTTGTTTTCTTCCATTTCTGTTTTTTTGTGTTTTCTCACCGTGAAGATTGGATAGACCAAATATGGGCTCACCAATATTTATCAAACCCTTAAAAAATGAACTCTCAACCATCTAGCGAATATATATTTTCTGTTTGTTTCCCATGCTGATTATTTGATGTTTATTGTGTTCAGTTGTTTGGAAGCGTCTTAGGAAAGCCAGTAAACAACAACGAATTGAAGGGGTGCACATTCTGGATTCATGAAGATGTGAAACGTTGATAATCCTGTATGGGTCTATCCTCCATTTAGTTGTTTTGTGTTTCACCTTGTTGTCACGTGAAGGAGCATTTTGTGTGTTATTACTCAAGACATGGTCGTGTTTTTTGTTTCTAATGAAGGCTTCTCTTCACGGGGGATCAGCGTGATGGAGTGTGACTGTGAATTCATGATCCATGTTGTTTTTTTCTTTGGTTTCCTCGGCGGTTCTCTTTCGGACCGGAACTGAGTGCTTCTATCCGGTTCAGAACCAATGTTTAGACCTGTCGGGCGGGTTTCACAAGTCAGCTGTTTGCACAGATGAAGGGCAGGACTTCCCCCCGCGCCCGCTGTTGCCTTGTTTTACCCAGAGTGCCTTGCTCTACTCTATTTAATGTACAAAAAGAGGGAGTTTTTTTGTTACTGTTTGTGATGAATTAAAAACGTGCACTGTGAAAAGAAGTTGACAATCACATCCCGCGATGTTCGGACTGTACGGATACAAGTCTTGTTGTTGATTTGTCCTTTGTTTATTTTGTGTGTGTGTGTGTGTGCTTTAGTAATGCTTAAGATCATTACTAAAGACATTTGTGCACCAAACACTCTCTCACACACACACACACACACACACACACCTGCCATGTGTCATCACCGCGATGTTCACCATGTGGTTTCTTTTTTGGTCGTTTTTGGCAGAGTGGCTGACTTCCTGTTAGCGTTAGCGACGCGCTAGCCAAATAAATATTAAGCCCCCCGATTCTAAAGCCACACGGCGTCACACACATGTACGTTGTTTTTGTCTTTTACAGCTCAAAAGCAGATTTTAGCTCAATAAAACGTGTTGCTTTGAAACGCTAAAGACGTGGCGCTCTGTGTGCTTTCACTGGGAGGTGGGACTGGGAGCTGTGGGAAGGAGCAGCGAGTATCTTCACTCCACACACAAGGAGATACATAGTAGTGGTGAAAAATATCAACGTCACAATTTTAAGACTTTGTAACCTATTTAATATTGTGACTGTTTGCAGGAAGATAAACACAAACACGCAGCAGTTATGTGCATAAGTAGAAAGGAGAGCAATAACATTGAGAGAGTGATGCTAATGGTGCGCTGCATAAATAATGTAATTCTAAACTGCTTTCTATTCATCTATTAATGGATAAAACATTATTGATCCAGCAGCAAACAGAGTGGATCAAATATTATGTAGGCTGGTTAATAAGTTTAGGCAATTTCCCATATATATAAATGTCTTAATTTAGGGGTTAGGTGTCTCACTCGGGGACATGGGGGAACCGGGTTCGAACTGCCAACCTTGTGCTTCCCAGCGCGCCCTCTCTACCGCATGCGCCACCGTCAACCCAGCACCCCCAATGTAGCATTAGCATTGAAGGTTAAGCTATTTGTAAGGTAGCCATTTAAAATAACACTGGCTAAGTGGACGCCATCAATTAGCATAATGGATGCAGAGGCTAGCTGGGGTAATGTATGCTAGTCACAGACATTTTTGTCCTTTCCTGTCCCCTCGCCTGGAGGACAATGCGTGCGTAACACCGGCGCTCATTTGTTTAATTTAAAACGGGTCCGTGAACGCCCCTCCGGAGCGACCCAGTGACTTCATGTTGGACTCATTGACAACATAGAAACCCTCTTAGCAGCACATCACCTGCTAGCAGCTCCCTACCTGTTGGTACGCACACGCACACCTACACACACACACACACACGCACACGCACACGCACACGCACACGCACACACACACTTCAGACTTTGAACCTGCAGTGAACAACACACAGAAAGCAGAGATCAAAACAACTCTGGACGGGCCCCGAGCCAGCAGGGGTCAAAGGTCAAATATCACTCAGAAAGCCATTTATTAGCAGCTGAGAGGGAAGAGGTCAAAGGTCAACGAGGCCCCTCTTCCCCCTCTCTTCTCAAGTCTACATTAACAGTCCGACGGTGTCTTTCCTCGCTTTTACGTTTACCAACTTGTGAGTCTCCATGGAAACACAACAACCCTTGTGTGCGTGTGTGTGTGTGTGTGTGTGTGTGTGTGTGTGTGTGTGTGTGTGTGTGTGTGTGTGTGTGTGCGTGCGTGTGTGCGTGTGTGCGTGTGTGCGTGCGTGCGTGCGTGCGTGCGTGTGTGTGTGTGTGTGTGTGTGCGTGTGTGTGTGCGTGTGTGTGTGTGTGTGTGCGTGTGTGTGTGTGCACTGTAGGGCTCTACAGTGAGTCAGCACACACCAATCTGGTACAATCCCTCCTTCCGTGGGGAACTTTTCCCTGTAAATGAAGTGTGTCTGTATTTGTGTGTTGTAAGTCAGTTTGTATAAGACGCTTGTGTTTGTTAACGCACACACACGCGCTCAGCCACCAGTTTCCACGTAAACAAGAGAAAAGCTGAGAGTGTTTCCCTCTTTAGTTGTTACTCAGACAGGAAGTACGTGGAAGCGTTCCCACCAAAATAAACCTTCTTCTCTCTGGGGACTACTTTATCGCAGAGTGGCGTATCCCTCCGCCCGTCTAACCGGGGGCACCACTTCGTCCATGTCAGCGTCATTCTTTCCCCAATTGTGGCTCAGTGTTTCTCAAAGAGATGCATGCTGGGTAACGCCAGTGTGTCTCCGCGCATCGTTGAAAGTAACAGGAAGTGGATTCTAGGAGCTGTTTGTTGATCTGATGAGCTCTTAAGTTGTCATCATCATAACCGTCTTCATCTTCATTACCGTCACAAGCATCACCTTAATCATCATCATCACGTCATAATCTTCTTTACCTTAATCATAGACATCTTCATCACATCAATGACCACCGTCATCATCTTCATCATCCCACTATCGTCCTCGAAGCATTTTCCAGACCTGGAAACGTGTTTAGGAAAAATAAAACCTGCTTGTTCAGACTGTAATATCATATATTATATATTACATATATATATTTTTTACGGCTCTTATTAATTTACGTTCTGGCTTTAGATGTTAGATGTTGGATCGACCAGAGAGGAAGAGTATCCTCGGTCATTATCAGACATCACCACGACCAGCTGTTTGGATCAGATTGTAAATATTCCAGTGAAGCCACGCCAATGATGTCATAGTTTACTCCAGTTAAAATACTTCCTGTCAGAAACAAGAGAACAAACAACTTTAATGGAGGAATGAAGCTTTTAGGTTCCTGTTCCCTAAAGTCTCAGCTGTTACGGACATTCAAGGTACGGACATTGAGCCGTGGTAGCGTTAGCACACTAATGTTACCACAATATGAAGTGGTAGCGTTAGACAATAATGTTAGCATAGCGAGCAGTGGTAGCGTTAGCACACTAATGTTGGCACAATAATATTAGCACAATATGAAGTGGTAGCGTTAGACAATAATGTTAGCATAGCGAGCAGTGGTAGCGTTAGCACACTAATGTTGGCACAATAATGTTAGCACAATATGAAGTGGTAGCGTTAGCATGCTAACTTTAGAATAGTGAGCCGTGGTAGTGTTAGCACACTAATGTCAGCACAATATGAAGTGGTAGCGTTAGCACAATAACGTTAGCATAGTGAGCGGTAATACTTTACGTATATTACGTATACGTAAAGTATTACCTCTGAATATTAAAATATTTAATCTGCACGAATTTACCAAAACATGGGAACCATTTGTGTGAATTTAAGGAATCTAATAACATGAAACATGCTTTTATCTTATCTTTCTTTTAGTAATAATTAAATTTAAATGATAATCTCACTCTGACAAACAAGTATAACTTGTAACAGTTAAATAGTTTCAGTTTGTGGGTCTGTGTTTGTGTGTCTGTATCTGTGTCTGTGTGCGTGTGTGTGTTTTACAGGTTTGGACATGAACAGGTGAAGATACCTGCTCACAAAGGGACCTTTGTGACACACACACACAGACACACACATTCCTGGACAGCAGCATCATTCATCACGACGTAATCCTGTGTGTGTGTGTGTGTGTGTGTGTGTGTGTGAAGAAACCATGTGTCACACAGGTATGTCCCTATCACACAAACAATGTCAATATTAAACATATTTTTATATAGTTGAATAAATACAAATTGACAGAAAACGTCAATTTGTTGATGTGGCACTTTCTACAGTTTGTGTATCTGTGTACGTGTGTGTGTTGGTACGTCTGTCTGTGTGTGTGTGTGTGTGTGTGTGTACGTGTGCATGTGTTGTGTTGCCACCTGCTCCAATAACACAAGCAAAGTGGAACGGAATCAGACCTGAGGCTTCACACACACACACACACACACACACAAACTCAACATGCGAGTGACAGTAGTGGAGGAACGGAGGGAGGAAGAGGAGGAGATGAAGTACCGAACACCACCGGTGTTAGTTGTGTGTTTCTGTGCAGGTGTGTGTTTTCTGTGTGTGTTGTTTTAAATACCTGGCCGGTAGCAGGTGGTGTGACCCACAGACACACACAAACACACACCTGTAGGCGGGGTCAGAGGTCAGTTGTTGGACAGCTGTACCCTGAGCTGCTGAAAACACATAAACGCACTGAGACACACACACACAGACACACACACAGACACACACACAGACACACACACGGTGGCCTTCAGATGCTGCAGGTGAAGTAAATCA